TGGGCCAGCCCTGGAGCGAGCATCGCCCCAGCATGTCCTGGGTCTTGTTGTCACTGAGCATAGACTTCTCCAGTTAGGGCGTGATGACAACCTTAGGCAAGGTGCTTAGGCAAGGCAGATGACACAGACTCTGATGGCACTGACAGGCAGAGGCCACCTGCTGACTGCACCCCGTAGGCTGAAGGCAAATTCTCCGTGACGGGTGAGGGCATGTCTCCCCAGACCGTGCTGCTATCCCACGTCACCGCCAGGCCTCGGAGCAGCTCGTACACCACTGCCTCTGGGAAACCTTTGCTCAGACCTTTGGGCTGTAAGCTGCCATAAAACCTTGTCCTTTTCTCCCCAGCAGTTATCACACTTTGTGATCACATGCTTGTGTGTGTGTGATTATCCCATTGATATCTAAGAAACTGTACATTCTGTGAGGGCAGGGACCATCTGTGTGACTCACTAGAGTCCCAGAACCTAGCTCAGCACGTCGCACATGGTAGATGCTCAGCAAAAATGTGTTAAGGAATAAAGGATGGTACCGTGTCTTGAGAACACAAGACTCTCCGAACTGTACGCTTCGAGAGATTGCTCTGTACTTGAAGCTCTCCTTCAGTTCACAGGGAGAGCATTCGTGAGCATTTCAATTATGTAGTTTCTTTAATATTTAGGAGCCTGCTCCTGCCCCACCCCTACCTGTTCTAGAGGGCCGAAAAGGGGCCAAGTTTACACTATTACCACCATCAATCACCACAGCTACCATCCAAAGGCCTTTTAAGGGCTGTGCCTTGCAATGGGCAGCTCAAACTTCCCAAACCCAGAGAGCTCCACAAGCCTGGTCCCTGAGTTAGGGAGCCCGGTTCCTGCTCTGTGCCACCTAAGCAAGTCACTTAACCTCTCTGAGCCTCATCTGTAAAATGGGGACCATGCCTGCCCTTTCTACTTCATGGATGACCATCAGGTTCCAATGCAGTGATAGGTGAGCAAGTGCTTTGCAAATTGTAAAACGTGGTTCACAAGAGAGCAAGGGAGTTTTCTTCTCGTGCAACCATGACAGGTTGGCAGAGGACATTATTGGGACACTAACCTGTTTTCTGCAGCGATGTCACAGGAGCCTGTGTAGATGGGCTGTGTGCTGGGCATTGTTTTTCCCGATTGCGTAAATGAATGTGTGCTCACCTCCCTCCCAGCCCCCTTGCCCCTTCTGATCAGGGGTAGACACAGCAGGAAGTACACTGACCCTTGGGACTAGTGAGGGGACTGTGCTTACATCATATGTAGGTCAAGGTTAAGTGTCTTAGAGGTGGGGGGCAGTGTGTGGGTATGTGTCCCCCACCTGGGCAGAGTGGTGAGAACATGACATTGAAGGCAGTAAAGTCCTTAGAGGAGCTAAGCTCCCTGGGGAAGAATCTTTTACTGAGATTGAATACCTGGCCATTGGGACAGAGGCTGGGGAGGAGATGGTGTAGACACAGGTGCTAGAGGTGGAACCAGTGATGAGAAGCCCAAATAACTTTCCAGGGCTCTCTGTGGGCCAAGCCAGTTTGCTAAGTAACATAGGAACACTCAGGGAAATCTTTGGTTTCTGCTGGTCTCCCCAACCCCTTTTTCCTTTACTGGTAATCAATTCATTTCGTCAAAGTATATGGCACACTCTTGAAAAGGATGAACAAGAGCGACCCGCTAGGTTCCAAACTCCTGCCTTTTACAGTTACCTCACTGAACTTTCTCCACAGCCCCAGGACATAGGGGTGTTACCCCAGCTTACAGATGGGGAAACTAGGCTTGCAGAGGCTAAGTACCATGTTCAAAGTCAGTCAAGTGGAAAGTGGCTACACGCACCTATATTCACATCCAGATTTTCTAGTACCTTCTCCCCTACGCTGCTGTGTTTTTAAGTGCCTCCTGCCCCCTACTATCACAGATCTAATGTGAGTGTGTGCATTTATTGAGGTGAGGAAGCTCTGGGCTATTTTTTCTGCCTGAAAACACCCACACACAGAATTTCCAGGACCTGAAGGAACCTTAGAGATCATTTAATACAATTTATCTTGCGGACAGAGAATCTGAGGCACAGAGAGGCAAGTGACTTGTCCCACAGCCTCTGTGGATGCTGGTGTCTCAGACCCGGCGTCTTCCATTCCTTGCCTTTCTCTGCTCTAGCTCTGGCTAAGCCAGGAAGCCTTTGCCGGCAGACACCGTTGCCCCAGATAACTGCGCCAGAAGAATGAGTGCTGAGCATTCATTCTTCAACAAACATTTACTGAGCGCCTACTAGGTGCCAGGAACCTTTAGAAGCGCGGTGAATGCAATGAACAAGATCAATGTTGCCCCTGACATTCTGGAGCTTACGTGGCTATGGGGGAGGTAGGTACAAAGTATCTAAACAAGATCATTTCAGATGCTTGGAAGGAAATAAAAAGAGGTGATGGAGGTGGAGGAGGGCTTCGGATAGAGTGGTCAGGAATAGCATGACCACCTGCTATGTGCCAGATGCTGGTCCTTCAATTCTCTCAACCCTTGGAGGCTGTGGGCAGATCTCCGTTTTGCCAACAAGGAAACCCATGTTCAGAAGGGGTAAGGCTGGCAGTCAAGTCCCAAACTCCTAATCCCCACTTCCTACCAGCCCATGCTGAGCAGCCGCTGCCGCTGTCGGGTCCTGGATGATGAAACTCGGGTGGAGGACTGCACCATCTTTCAGCCCGCGCCTTAGCAGGTGTGGGGGCGGAGGGCGGAGGGCGCTTCCAGGAAAAAGCTGCAAATAGCTCAACATTCGCAAAAGGCTGAGAGGACAGGCCCCGCCGGGCCACTGCCCGGGCACCGCCGAGCGCAGCCCAGACCACCTCTCCCGCCTCTGCAAGGACAAAGAGCCCGCCCAGCCCCGAGCAGCGCCCGACTCCGGCTCCCGCCTCTGCCCCGCCTCCGATCAGGCGAGCGCGGGGCACTATGGGACATGTAGTTCGCCTAGCCCTCCACACCTGCTCCAGAAACGGACTGCGTAACTACAAAGCCCAGGAGCCAGAGGGCGGCCCAAGGCGGACTCACCCGCGGTGGGTGTGCGAGCCGAGTGGACCCGGCGGTGCGGGCGCTTGGGGCTGGGATGCGGGTGCGGACCGCGGAGCCGGAGAGCAGCCCCAGGCGAGCGTGCTAGCCGGACTCGGCGGGGGGTGGCCAGGCGGCGACAGGCAAGTTACATGCGTGCATCGGGCACAGCCTTTGTAAAGCCCGATTGTGCAGCGCTTTGGCTCTGCAGTGGAGCGGTGGAGGGTCCGAGTCGCCGAGGGATGGGCACCCAGCCCGGGAGCCAGGCTGGCACCGCTCGCTGAAAGAGCCCTTGGCTGGGCTTGGGGGCAGGGGGGCCGGTGCCCGCCTTGGACTGTGCGCGACGTGTTTATTTTTATTTTTTTCTTTTTCTCTTTTTGTGCCAAGGTTTCTTTGCGCGGACGCACGATGCAGCGAGCGGCGGCGCTGGTCCGGCGGGGCTTCTGCCCCCGGACCTGGGGCTCCTGGAGCCGTAGTCAGAGCAGCGCGGCCGCCGAGGCCTCGGCGGTGCTCAAAGTGCGGCCGGAGCGGAGCCGACACGAGCGCATCCTCACGCTCGAGTCCATGAACCCGCGGGTGAAGGCGGTGGAGTATGCGGTGCGGGGACCCATCGTGCTCAAGGCCGTCGAGCTCGAGCTGGAGCTGCAGCGGGTGAGCGCGGCGCCTGGGCCGGGGAGGCAGAGGGGCGCCGATGTGGGGAACAGCAACAGCTGGCCTCCGCTGGGCTTCCTCCCACCCCCGTGGCCAGCTCCTTCCCCGGGCCAGGCTTGACTTAGACAAGACAATGCCTTCCTCCCATCCCTTCACCCACCGGTGCCCGGCACCTGGCACAGTCAGGCCTCAGGTGCGGTTCACTTGTTGAGCGGCCGGTAGTACCAGGCACGGCGTGTTATGGGGCTGTCCCCCCCCCCCCCCCCGTGTGGAACCAAGATCCATGGTGGGGAAGGGAAAGGGAGGACAACAAGCAGTAAAGAGATCAACAGGAGAATTTCGGAGAGGAAATAAGTGCTTTGAAGACAGTAAAATGGAGGAGCGGTGGAATGGGGGTGCTGGATGGGATGTGGTAGGAAGGAGACCCCATTAGGGACGCGGGAAGGTTTGTTCCTGAAACTTTTCCTCTCTGTGGCTGAGACCTTTTGGGCCATTGTGCCGGTAACGATGCCCTGACAAGCGTGAGGGCACGGAGGAAGGTCCTGACCACTGCCTGCCTTTCGGCCCCCCGCAACCTTGACTGGTGCCCACATTTTGTTTTCTGTCCGAGGAGACAGTCAGCCCCCAGTGGGTAGTCTGTAGCTGGATGCTTGGGCCTTTGGGGCCTTGGTAGGGTGGCCCTGGGACTTGCTTCGTCTTGGTGGCCAGCTGGCTGGGATCTTGGCTTGAGGTCATAGATACGTGCAAAGTGACCACACACCCGGGGGTGATTTCTGCTTCCTTACAGTCAGGGTGGCTGTGGTGGGTGTAAGAGATGACCACTGGATCACCTGGGTGGGCTCCTGGAGGTGGCGTGAAGAGGAGACTTTAAAGAAAGTAAACACTCCAGAGATTTGTACGAACTGATGAAGGAGTTCAAAGTAGTTGAACTGTCTTGCTCAAAGCAGACCTGACCCAGAATGGGGGTGGGGAGGTTCCTTGATCTTGGTCTCAGAGGCACTGGAACTGGACATCTCAGTGAGCTGGTCACTGAGTGTCCCATGAATGCATGGGAGGAAGCTGTGGTGGGACCGTAACACTTGGTCCCTTGTTCCCATGGGGACTTTGGGGGCTTGATGAGCTCACGGCCTGCCGAGACCTCGTTGGGACACCCAGTTCTGCTGACTCAAAACAGCGGGCTGGACAAGTCAGAGTCCAGTGTCTCCTTCTTACGCCTTGCAGGGCTAAGTTTAAAGCTTGGCCCGGAAGGTTGGCTGGGTTTCTGTGCCTCCCTGGTCTGGAGGTGGGCCAGTGGTAGGAAACACAGCTTTTGCTGCCCTGCTCCTTGTTGCTATCTGGCAGGCTGGAGCTGATCCTCCTTGCGACAAGTCTCCTTGTTAAAACATAGCTGAGATTGCATTGTTCCCGGTGTATCAGTTTTTAGCTGATTTTACCCTGGTTCCAGAGCAGGCTGGGGTTCAGGGGTTATCTCTACCTTCTGCTAAATAGCAACTTGGCTGTGGGCTCCGTGAAGTATAAGGATGATTTCAGGACAGAAAGGAGCACCGACTGCTCTAGATCTCGGAGCCTGAGCCTCTCTTCCCCGAGTTCTCTAAGGATCAGTGGGATTTCTTAGTTTCTTAGCAGGCAGAGGAAATATGAGAGCAGGGCTGTGAGCAACCACAGAAGGTCGGAAGTGCTGGGGAAGGGGGGATCGGTGCTGCCGGGAGAGCAGTCAGGCAGACAGAGATGGGAGAGGCAGGAGAGGAGAAAGGTGGGCACTTGTGTGCTGGGCTCAGGATTTGAAGGTGCAAAGTTTGGGTGCAAAAGTGGGGAACCCAGAAGGATTTCCAACAGGCTATGGCTCGATGATTGCAGGTAAACAAACTTCTTGGTCATTTGGGCCAGGAACACCCAGTGATTTCCGGGACAGATTCCCCCCGCAATGTCCTACCTCTTAGTTGAGACATTCTTTCTGTCCACCTACAGTCTCTGGTGTTTTCACTCAGGCTCATCCTTTCTCTTTTCCCTTTGTCGGGTCTCAGTTGCCCGGCTGTGGGTGCTGGAGATCTAGCCCCAGCCAACCCACACAGCCTCGCTTGAACCTTTCATTCCTGGGAGACAGCCTCTCCACTGTGCTGGCTTAAACAGTGCCCTCCTGAGAGCGCCATCAATGTCTTCCCAGTCTTTGTTTTTGAGGGGGGTGGGGGGGTGGGGAGGGAACTTGGCTTGGCCCAGTTTTCCAGCTTTGGTTTTTCTACCTGTTTTGAATTGTAGTGATCAAAACTGGCCTGATGTTATAAGGGGTTCGGTTTGGTTAGAGATGGGATGGGCAAGGATTTGTAGGGAGTAGGGTGACTGGGGGTGAATCTCATATCTTTGTCAATGAGAGGAGAGAGGTGGCCCAGGGGACCCAGGCTTCCCCCTGCCCTGACTTCCACACCTCCTGGTCTACCTGAAGGTGTCCTGGGGAACAAAAGGTCCCGAGCCTTGTACTGCCTCGTGGAAGCACTTCGGTAGTGTCGGCCATTTGGCTGGACATGTGCTCTGATGTGCGGCGTGGCTTGCCAGCGAGTCCGGTCCTCTCTTCTGGGATAGGAGTGGAGAATGCTCAGGAAAGCCCCAAGGAGGAAGGGAGGGCGGCCGGGGGTGTGTGAAACGGACCATTCTCCCCCAGCCAGCTCCGTGTGTTCTCAGGAAGCCCCGTTTCTCCCTGACAGCGCTCCGAGGCAAAGAACCCGTCAGCTTTTCAGATCCCCGTTTTCATTGGGAGCAGCACTTTAAAATAAGCTGCAATTAATGGGAGTTTTGAAAAGATCTGTCGCTTCTTCCTCAACCTACTTCTTTTTCCCCGGCTTTACTGGGGGAGAGGTGGAGGCTGGCACCCGAGGAGTGGCTTTGCTTCTGTTTGTGAAAGCACACGCGGCTGAGACAAGACATTCACAACCTGAGGGAAAAACGGGTGCCGCCTTACGGTCACGGGTGCCTTGCATCTAACGCACTTCCCACCCGGAGGTGCCGTAGCACGTGACCACAGTCAGTTAAGAACCAAGTTTGGAAACCCTGGGTGTGCCAAGCGCAGGGGGTGAGATCTCATTGGTCATTTCCTTTAGAATTTAAATGCTACTTAAAAAAGACATCTGTAGTGTCGACTTCCAATGGGACGAAACCTCCCCCCGCCCACCCTGCCCCAGTCACCACGGGCCTGCACCCTGGACTTGGCCTTCGTGGCTGTGGGCCTCAGAGCCCCTTGGCCTCAGTTCACTCCTCTGCAAAACAGGGCCAGTGTATGTCTCCTACAGACAAGAAGACAAGGCCTTGAACAGCCAGACACCAATTAGAACTCTACAGAGTCTCTGTTCTCAGGCTAATGAGAGTTGTGTGGGGGCAGGAAGCGCCCAGGGTCCCACTTTCCTTCCCTCCCTCCTGAGCCTCTGGGTCTGGGGCCAGCTCTGCGGGGTCTGCCCGCTCCCGCCTGGGCCGTGGCCTTGCTCTTGTGAATTACCCTGTGTGCTTCTCATTCAGCTTTCACCCCGGCTTCTGCCCTGCAAACCTCAGCATCTGGGGCTGGCCCTCCCACAGCCCCCCAGAGTCCAGGGGCCTACAAGTAGCCTTCCCTGCCTCAGTGCTCAGGGAACCCGGCCCCTGGAGCTCCCACCTAATGTCGCAATCACGGGTGGGTACAGCTTCAGCTCGGTTTCTTCAGCTTTGCTTCTTTCTTTCCATAATGGTCAGGGGCAGGCTCTGTGCTGAGACTCGGTTCCTCAGCTGTGAAGTGCACCTGCTATCGGGGACTGGGGGCACCCGTTGTAGTTTGTCTCTGGGACCCCCTCCTGGAGTTCTCTGCAGTGCTTCCTGCCTGCCCCAGGCCCCTCCATCCCCTCAGGGGCTTTTCCTGCAGTGCTCCTGGCCCCCGGCCAGCCATGCCCTCTTTCCCGTCCCCACCCACTTCTTATTCTTCACCTGCCTGGGCTCTGAAGGGTGCTGGCCTCTCCTATCTCACTTGCTCCTGTCATTGGGCGTGGGAGATCCATAAATATTTGTTGAATCAGAGGGAGGTTCTCTGGGGACTAAACTTCCTACCAAGCCTTTCTCCCCACATGTCAGCTGAAATGATAAGAGCCCTCCCTTGCTCAAGGAAACTGTCACATTCCTGTTATTAGAATCATCCACGGTCCCCTTGACCTTCATGGGGATGCTGGGCCCGTGCGCCGGGAAGGGCAGTGATCACCCTTTTTCCCTTCTGCCCACTAACACGCTCTGAAATCTGCCATCCCCAGAGCCTGGGGGCCTGTTCCCCTGACCCCTACTTAAGCCGAATGGTGGGAAGGGAGCCCTCCTGGTAGGAACTCATCTCGGTGCCTCGCAGGGAGACAGCCCTGGGTGGGATGTGTGCAGATGGATTAGACAGGTGGGCGCTAGGATGCTGTGAGGGGAACCAGGATGCTTACCTGCAGGCTCCTGGGGGCTAGGCTGAGGCGAGGTCACCATCGGGTGTGACTGCCAGGCCTGGACGAGGCACTGTGGGCAGGAGCCTGCGCCCAGCTCCTTCGTATGCCTCCAGTGCCTAGATGCAGGAGTCTGCCCAGAACAGTCTGTATGGCGGCCTTGGCCGGGCAGCCTGCCCGCCACCCCCCCTCACCCCCCCAGTCATTCGACGGAGCCAGCTTCCCACCCCCAGCACATCCATCATTGCAAAGTGTCTGGGGTCTGCGGGCACCCGGACCCAAGAAAGGAGGTGCTCAGTGTTCCCAGCCTCCTTGTTGAAGGCCCTGCATTGGTTGGGCAGTTCAACGGGGGCAGGCCCAGGACCAAACGCCCAGGGCCCTGTCCCAGGCATTATTCTCATCATTCTCTCCCTGCGCTGGGCTGGCTGGGGGCCCGCAGCTGTGTGTTGGTTCCTGGCCCTCGACTATGACAGATTTACTCCCTGCCGAAGAATGGACTGTGCCCACACCATGGAAGTCACCTGCGTTCAGCTGGCCTGGCTGGGGGCCATGGTGATTCAGCCAGGCTGACGGAGGGCACCGTGTCAGGAGCCCAGGCTAGTGCCTAGTGGCGTGTCAGGCCCGCCCCTGTGCACGGTGGCCTGGGTCACTCCTCTATCGCAGCCTTCTTGGTTCCTGTGGGATGAGCCCTGAGGCCACATGCCCCACAGCCTGTCTTCAGGGTACCTCCCCTCACCTGTGGCTTAGTCCTGGAGCAGTGCACCCCCAGGCCCCGCCTTGGCCTTCAGGCATTTTGGCCGCTTCTCCACGCTCCCGGGACCTCTTTCCTTGCTGGCCAGCCCTGAAGAACTCGGTGGAAGGGCACGAGGGAATCAAAAGGCCTCCTTTACCCCAGAAACATAGCTTTGGGAGACTTATCCGGCCCCACAATCTTCCATCCAAACCACGTTTCTTTCCTCTGCAGCCACTGGGGTGTCCCTGTCACCCTCCCAGTGGTGGTTTTGAAGGTTCAGGGCCATTTCTGGGGAGCCTCCTCAGCCTCCTATGCCTCCTTGCTCCAGAAGCAGCTGGAGAATTCTACAGAGGAAGGGCTTAGGGGTGGCAAACGCGGGTCAGGAAAACTTGTTTGGCAGCTGTTCTCATCCCTTAAGCCCACTGGTTTTTACTTATGGTGTGCATTACTGATGTGAAAAAGGGAGGGGCCGGCCGAGTGGCTCAGTTGGTTAAGAGCTCGCTCAAGAGTGCAAGCTCTGAACAACAGGGTCACCTGTTCGAATCTCAGCCCGAGCTGAGCAGCCACTGAGCTGCCAACAGGTGGCAGGATGGCTCAGCTAAAAAAATAAAAAATAAAAAAGGGGACGTTTTCTAAAGTTGCTTTTAAGCACACATTGTGTGACATGGAGAAAAAGACAACTGTTAAAATGATAAAATTGCGTCTTTAAAATTTATGTTTAGGGTGTCTTTGGGGAAATGCCAGCAGGAGACGGGAAGGTGGCCCGGCCTTCCATCCAGGCTACACCTTGGCACTGTCACCACCTTGCCCCACCACTTTCTTCCTCCACCATGACCCTCGTGACCTCGCTCCTTGCCCAGCTTCGTAAGATGATGATGTTTGTACTAGGCCAAGTGTTTTCATACTGTGTGTCTTAGATAATCCTTTCAGCTGCCGAGGGAGGTCCTTGAACCTGCTGTTGATTCTGACTCTTCCAGTGGCTAATTTTGGATTTATCAGGGAGCTGCGTGGAATTCCCACATTTCCAGATCCCCACAATTCTCCACCCAAACCGTGTTTTCTCCTCGGTAGCCAGGGTGTCCCTGACACCTCCCCCATAATGTCATCATCGGGATCTCTGAGTTCCTCGGCTCCCTGGGCTCTCTTTCCTGTGGTCTCAGTTTTGCTCTTTTTTTTTCAGCCAGTCTTTTATTCCCTGATGATTTTTTTTTCTTTGATGTGAAAGTCAGCCACATTCTTCATTCTGTAGAGCCAGGGTTGCAAGAGAATGACCCTGAGTGGTCCCTGCTGATGGGTGTCTCCTGGGAGGGGGTGTCTGCAGGGCCCCCTGCCATTCACTTAGGCTGTCAGGTGGCGGTGCACTTGGGGGCGGGCAGCTGCGGGTCATGGGATCCTCTCTCTGACCTTTGGCGTCTTCTGCTGCTGACCTTGCGCCCCTCCCACCGCATTTGCCCCGGGACCCTCTTTTAGATAGCCTTCGGAGGCAGCTGTCGGGCTGTGGACCTGCAGCTACCTCAGGGTGCTTAGCAGCCCAGAAAGCCCTTCCAGCCTTTTCTGAAAGTAGGACACAGTGGAGCTTAGTAGCTAAGGAAAGTGCTCTTGGAGCCTGGCTTCAAATCCCAGTACTTATATTTATCATTTACGTGACCTTGGGCAAGTCTCTTAACCTTTTGAAACCTCAATTTCCTCATCTGTAAAACAAGATTAATACCAGTTCTTCCTGATGAGGTGGTTGTGAGGGTTAAATGGGGCCAGGCATGTCAAGGCCTTGACACTCTGCCCAACAGCTGGTGGGGCTCAAAGTCAGGCTGCTTAGTAACACCCTGTGGGATCGTTGCTTGGCCTCTGGAATCCAGGGTCTGAGAGTCTCTTAAGTAACCAGCTGTTTGGTGCCTTCTCTCTGCTCAGGGTATCAAAAAGCCGTTCACTGAGGTCATCCGTGCCAACATCGGGGATGCCCACGCCATGGGCCAGCAACCAATCACCTTCCTCCGACAGGTGAGGAGAGGCTTCTGGGAGAGCAGGGACTGGAGGCTGGGAGGGCCTCTTGCCTCTGCCTCCTTGCCTGCCCAGCCCCACAGGACACAGCAGTCCCCTCCTGTGGCTGATGTCCCTGGGTGCCACCCTCAGCCTCCTCCCCTCCCAAAGTTGTCTAACATTCCTAAGCCCTTTGTGGGGTTGTGCCAGGGTACGCGGTTCCCAGGGAGGCTCTTCCGTGGCGCTTGGTCCTGGATGCCGAGTTTGGAGCTTGGTTGATGAGGGCGTTAGAGAAGCAGGTGGGAGAGGCAGAGGCCCAGTGGGCTGGCAGGTGGTGTGTGAGGCCCCAACACAGCTTCCCACGTGCGACGCCCAGTTTGAGCGTTGGCTCTGCCACTTAACCGGCTGGGTGGCTTTGAGCCAGTGGAGATCACCAGAGCGCGCGGAGGACTGCTGGTGGCCTTGATGAGATGATGAGTGAGGAGGCCTTGCCCCTGGCCCAGCATGAGAGAGTGGGGTTGGTGACCATTGCCAGCTGCTGCCTCCTGGCTGCCTTGCTGATGTGACCCAGCTTGCTCCTGAGGTCTCCAGGGGACAGCTTCCAGTGTTTTGGTTTGAGCACCAACCACAGATGCTGCATGGGCCAAAATTGTGGGATTGGTGGGCAGGAGGGCTGGAGAAGGCCACAGGGCCTCCTGATCAGAGGCTGGAGACCAGCTGTGGTGAGAGCGTTTTCCCGCAGAAGCACTGGGGCCTGTTTAAGAGCAAAATATGGTCCTGTGTGTGGTTAAGGTTTGCAGGTCGGGCCAAGCAGGGGAGCTGAGCACCCCGGACCCTTTAGCCTGCCCTACAATCTGGGGGGGGGGGGGGGGGGGCTCAGCCTGCAGCCCCTCAGGCAGTTCACACAGGCTGGGGGCGGGGGCAGAACTGAGGCCACTGCTGCTGACCACAGGAGCGTGCCAGCTGCCTGGGGATGTCACGGGCCCCAAACCAGGCCTAGGAGGGGGAAATGGATCAGACCAAACAGGTGTCCCTGCCAGGAAAGTGAAGGCTGGAGGCGGTCAGAGGGCCCGGTTGTTCTGGAAGCATGCAGCTCAGAGGGACGAAGGCACAAGTGCCTGCCTCTCCCAGCAGAGGTTCCCCACACATGCGGGGCCTGAGCGTGGCTGGGCTCCTGCCTGTTGCCTCAGCGTTTTCTGGCTGGCTGACACAGCCCCAAACCCAGCCCTTCCTCTGGCTATGGCGGGCCCAGCCTCTCCCGCTTGGTGTTGGCCTCCTCCGGCCTTCACAGGTGTCCCTGGGAGGAGGGCAGGCCAGGTCGCTGCCCGTTGTACAAAGGAAGAAAAGCTGGGCTCCGAGAAGCTGGCGCTGGCCTGAGGTCACCCAGCTGGTGTCAGAGCCATGAGCCCCCACCTCCCCACCCCCGTGCTCCTAGCACTGCTCCCAAGCTGCCAGCTTAGACTTGCCCAGGGAGCTGGGGTTTTTACCGGCACTGTTACAAACATTTCTTTGCTTAATCCTCTTAATTTGTTAGGTTAAGGTGATTTTCTCTATCACAGAGCTGAGAAAGCTGACCTAATCTCAGTTTTGGCCAGGAAAGGGGGTGAGGGTGAGGGAAGGGAGGGGGCGTCCGGGGAGGGGGTTGGGAGCTCAGGCTGTGAGTTGGGAGGGGGTCTGTGCTGTCATGCTCCTATCAGCTGGGGTTCACCTGCCTGCTCAGGAGACCCCTGCTTCTTCTGGCCTTGGGTACATGAGCCTCTGTCTTCTATGGAAGCACTGGGGCGGGGTGCTGAACGGCCGCCCTCTGTTTCCCGGCTCCTTTGTGGCAGCCCACCCTGGGGCCCCAAGCGCAGGTCACTATGCACCCCTCCTCTCACAGTCTCCCCTTCTGCTGCAGAGCGCCCAGTGTCTTCCTGCTCACCCCCCCCCAAGCTCCCACCGGCCAGAGCCCGCGTGGAGAAGCCTGCTGCAGCTCTGTCCCCCAAGTTGTCACCTTCACACCGTCTCCTGCCCACGGTTCTTTGTGCCCCTCCTGGGGCTCCGGGGTGGGGGTGCTAGGAGCCCAGCCCGTGCCTCTGTTCCCCCAGGTGATGGCACTCTGCACCTACCCAAACCTGTTGGACAGCCCCAGCTTCCCAGAAGATGCTAAGAAGCGAGCCCGGCGGATCCTGCAAGCCTGTGGCGGGAACAGCCTGGGTGAGCCCCAACATGCCAGGTCCCAGAGGGCATGAAATGAATGTGCGTTCTTGGCCTGGGCCTCGGGTTATGCGAGCGAGAGTAAGTGGCCGTGTGTGGGACGGCTGACACGCGAGTCAGTGGACACTGGTGTTCCTCTGCTCGTCCCTGCTCTGATAGCCGCCTGTTTGCTGAGCTGCTGGGGTCAATGTCATCTTTCAGTGGACTGGGCCACCGCAGGCGCAGGGCCGGACTTGGGCTGCACTTGGGCTTTGCACCTGGGAGCCGGCTTCGACAGCGGAGCCCTCCGTCAGAGCAGGTGTGACCCGGTGACCGGCCTCGGGGTAGGGAGGCCGAATGGAAGCAGCTGTGTCCCGCCTTCCTGCTGCTCTGCGGCCCCCAGCTGGTCCTCGCATCGTCCCGGAGCTGGAGGTCAATGGCTGGGAAATGGAAGCGTTGCCTGAAGCCTCCGGTGGCTTCCGCCGTTCTGTCGGTGCCGCCCACCCTCTCCCATTTCACTGTGTGCCCGTCATCCAGCCTGTGGCCTCTGCCGGGAGCCCACGCCCAGCCTTCTGCCTCCTTGTTGAGGGACGCCCCGGAATTTGGCCCCTGTGGATGTGAAAACGATATTCGCTCTCCCTTCCCTGCTGAGATGGACTTCCAGCCGCTGGGCCTCTGCTCTGTGTTCTCATCTCATGTTTGGTTTTTATTGTTTATTTTTGCCCCATTATTTGCCCAGTGTCTACACAGGAGATCCGGTTTCCCTCACCCTGAGGAAAACAGTTGTTCTGAGAGCTTTTTTAGGACACGTGCCTGAATGTTCCGGAAAGTGGGACAGGGATTCTTGTGGCTTGCTCAGCAGGGGATCAGCCGCCCTTGGCCACTTTCCTTTCCCTTTTCTGCTCTGTCCCTTTATCGAGAGTCCTACAGTTACCTTCCTGGCTGTGGTCACCCCACCAGCCCTCCGTCCCGAGTGGCGCCCCTCACGGGCCGGGCCCAGCCGCCCCCTGCTCTCCTGCCTGCCAGCCTGGATGGGGCGTGGGCCAGCACCGTGTGTGGGGAGTCCTGAACCGCAGGCTGGCAGAGGGCCGCCCACAGGCCCGGCCTCCAGGCTTCCCTCCTCCTGTGCCCGCCGTCCAGCCAGAAAGACAAAAGCGCTTCTCAAGACCCCATGGCCGCGGGCCTGAGCCTCCTGGAAGCAGCTCTGCAGCGGAGCTGGGGAGGAACAGGGGGCCGAGCTTGCCTTCTGCGTGTCTGATGGGAATGTCTGCGGAAAGGGGAGGGCCCCTTTGTTCCGGGTGCTAAGCCTCCTCAACAAGTGTTTGCAGGTCTGTCACCCAGGCCTGGGGTCATGAGGTTGGGAGGCCACGTCCACGTGAGTCCCCTCCTAAGCTGTTACAGCAAGAGGGTGGTTGCCTGTGGTGCACTGGAGATGCGTACTGAGTTTTGTCTGAGGGCTTCAGGAGGACAGGTGAGGTAGGTGCTCTCTGAGCCTCATCCTTGAACTAGGAAATACTTTGTACTGACCTCCCAGGCTAACATACGTGCTAAAGCCCCTTGTCGGGCGTGGAGAAGCCCCTGGGGGGGTCACCACCAGGCTCTGCTCATTATGGGGGGCTCGGGCTGTGCTCTCTGTTCGCTAAGCCTTGGGCAGCCTGGACACCTGCCCATAAAAGTGAGGGAAAGTGTGAGTGCGCCCCAAAGCCCCCTGACCAGGTGGGGCTTAGTCAGTGTGCGCAGGCCTTAAAGCTCACTGGACATGTTTTCATTGTGCCCTTTATAGCCCTTACTGGGGCTTCATTTATTTGCTGTTTGATTAGCAGTTCAGTTCTCAGGTTGTGTCCCGGGTCTTAAGAAGGATTGAGGCGAAAGCTAGACACACTGGGGGAGAGGGCAGTCCATGCCCGTCCAGCCTCCCTGAGCGCACACCACGTACCAGAGCGCACACCACTGCTGTAGGCCCTGAGGGACACTGGTAAACAAGGCAGAGGGAGTTTCTGTTCTCACAAAGCTTACCGTCAGGTTTGGGAGAAGCAAACATTAAAAAGAACTCACACAAAAACATAATCCCTTGTTTTCATGAGTTCTTGGACAAAGAGTAGAGAGTGATGGGGTTATAACAATGGACCCTAGCAAGGAAGGCAGGTTTAGGAGAAAGTTCAAATTCATGTAGAGGATGAGAGAGAGAGAGAGAGAGAGGAAATGGTGTGTGCAAAGGCCCTGAGGCTTAAGAACTGAGTGTGACTGAGTGAAGGGTGAGGCGGTATTCAGTGAGGCTGGGGAGGCTGGCAGTGCTGTTGGTGCCAGTTTGTAGGCCGTGGGAGGCAGGTTGCCATCAGTCTGGGGGCAGGGGGTCCTAAGCAGGGGTGTGGTGGGGGGGGCCCAGCAGGGGGATAAATGCTCCAGCACAGAAGAAATAACTTACAGTCAACATGGGGAGAGGCAGGGCTTCATCTATATACAATAAAACAACTTGAGAAATTACAGGCCAGGAGAGAGGCTGGGGGTGGGGCAGTGTCTTTAGGACAGGCCCCCTGGAGAGGGACTAGATCTGTGTGGTTTGGATGGAGCATAACAGGAGAGCTAAAGGAAAAGGGTGGAAGGCCTGGCCCACAGGAGCAGGGGGCTGGCCATTGGGTGAAGGCCTGGGAACTCAAGGAAGTGGGAGCTAGAGGCCGGGCGAGGAGGCTCGGCTGGCATGGGAATGGCCAGGCCCCGTGGAATGGAGAGGAGGGCATTGAAAGAAGACAGAGGGAAATAGGGAGCACTGGAAGGTTTCGGAGCACAGGAGCTCAGAAATACCAAATAAATCACCCAGTGGAGGAAGAGTTATCTAACACCAGTATTTGTACCTCCCTACTTTAATTAACAAAACATTTCAAATGCATTTGAATACCCAAAATAATGTAACAAAAGACCCCGTGCCCACCACCCAGATTTGATGCATGTTATTGTTTGCCCCCTGCACCCCCCACCCCCATTTTACAGCTAGTCAGAGGGGAAGGGCAAGCCCAATGCTGCATACAGAGGCTGAGGCAGAGCCTCAAACTGTGCCTCCTGGGGGCGGGGCCTGGACTGATTCACTCTGAGGCCCAGAGAAGAATCGGCTCCTTTCTAGACCCCCGTCCTGCCTCCTGGTGGTGGTTTTGCAGTAGCCTTAGGAGGAAGCGCCTGGTTTTCTCTAAATGTGGTATCAAATACAGACAGTATAGAAGGGTATAGAGTGAAGATCTGCCTCCCACCTCTGACCCCAGCCTCCTGGTTCACTTCCCCAGAGAAGTCACCTCACCAGGTATAACCCCCACCTAGACCAAGATACCCAACGTTTCCAGCACCACAGAAGGCTCCTTTGTGCCCCTTTGCAGTCTGCGCCCCCGCCCCGGTGTGGTCACCGCTGTTCTGAGGTCCAGCATCGTAAATGGGCTTTGCATGTTTTTGCACTTCGTATGAACGGTGGCCTGCATTTCAATCCTAAATGGCAGCCTGAGGATACTGTTGACATGGGGTGGGTGTGGGGGGCCAGGCCCGGCAGTCCCAGGGACTTGTGGTTAGTTTTGGTCAGGGATCCGGGCTCCTGGGGCTCGCAGCGGGTGCCACTTTGGGTCAGCCCACTCTCTGCAGTTCTGTGGAATCATGTGTAGGCAACAGTGATAGCTGCATAGCAGTTCCAGCTGTCCTGATTTATATTGCCATAGAGGGTGTATAAATCCCAGCGGGGCGGGTGAAACAGGTACGGGCACCAGGTAAGTGGTTAGAAGCCAGGGCCTAGAGTGACGCCTGACCTAGTTGGTTCTCAGTAAATCCTGGGTGGATGAGTGGGTGGCTGTGTAGGTGGGTGGGTGCACAGATGGGTGGGTGGGCAGGTGGATGAGTGGATAAATAGCAGATGGGTGAGTGGGTACATAAGTGGGTGGCTGGGTGGATGAGAAGGTGGGTGACTGACTGAAACCCGGAAGGCAGTTCGGCGGCTCGCCACAATTCCAGGGCCGAGAGTAGTGGGAGTCGGACCCCGCCTGACCTCTCCCCACCCCCACCGTCCAGTTAATTACAAGTGTAGACGTCACCGAGACTGTGGAGCCCGACATCCTGCCTCTGGTCACTGCCTTGCTTGCTGTCCTACAGGGTCTTACAGTGCTAGCCAGGGTGTCAACTGCATCCGTGAGGACGTGGCTGCCTACATCACCAGGAGAGATGGCGGCGTGCCTGCAGACCCAGACAACATCTACCTGACCACTGGAGCGAGCGACGGCATTACTGTACGTGAGGGTGACTCGTTGCTACCCAGTGTTCACCCACAGGAAGAATAACCTGGCATGTCAGGGCCACGCACGTGAGCCTGCCAGCTGGGAGGGGGTCAGCCACCCCCTGGTGCCTGCTGTCTGCCCCACTCAGGCAGCCTGCACCCTAGCTTTGCTCAGTCTCCGTGAGCCTGGACGCTTCTGAGGCCTCGGCTCCCTGCTAGGGCGCACACCGCCATCCCCAGCTGGAGGGGAGCCCTGGGGCACACGAAGGTGCCCATCTTTCTGGTGGCAGTGGCCTTTCTCTCACTCAGCATGGACCAGTGTGCCTCCTTTGCCAGGGGACCCAAACACGTGTGGCCTCCGTGCACAGTAGTGCTGGATTAGACCGGCATTAATATCACATACATAAATGCCACATCACAAGCTCTTTTCTCTTCTGGGTGAAGAGGACAAAGGACCACGCGGGAGCAGCAGGGACGCTATCTGGGGTGGGGTAGGGGCAGCGAGGTTTCTACGAGGAAGGCTGAGCAGATAGCCGACGGGTGGACACGTAATGGGAAGTCAGGGAGGTGGGGGGTGGGGGGGTTCCGAGTGGGTCAGCGTGTACAGAGGCCTTGAGCTGGAAGGAGGCTGTGTGTTTGGAAATAGAGTCAGGGTGGACAAGCACACGTGGTGAGGCCACAGTTACCAGAAACGGGCTGCAGGCAGGTGGCGCCTGAGTCCTAAGGGGCCTGAGAGGCCACTGAGGGTTGGGGCCCCGGTCCTGCGAGCTGTAGGCCTGCGGCTTTGGCCTTCCGTCTCCTTTGCGCTCCCCCCAGCGCCTGCTCAGTGCTCGGAGCCATCGACTAGTCCTCCCCACTCAGGACGCCTGCCTGCAGTGGGAGCCTTTGCCTCTGGCCTCCACGGCTCTCATTTTCCACGTCGAGTGCTTTAATCCCTTCCCACAGCCTTTCAAGTGAACTGAACTGTTACTGCAGCCTGTGAGGAAACAGGCCCACAGCCAGAAGCCGTCCGCTTGCTTTGAGTCAGTCTCTTGTGGCATTTGGGATGCTAGCGTTGGGGTTGGGGCCCCCACCCACGGCATCTTCCATTATGTCCTGCTGTCAAAGCCTTTTTCCGTTCCCAGAGAAGCTCGAACAGGCTTGGGTCCTGAAGGAGGGGAGGGAGGTGACCTCAAGGTTCAAGTGGAAAGAATCAAGTCATTGTGCTTTTCAATCTGGTGGCATTCTTGCAGCAAGAAGTGAGCCCAAGAAAGGCCCTAAGCCTGTATGTAAGGTGGGGACTCTCCCAGAGAGGGTTTTGGCTTATTAATTCAATGAATTATTGCCACCTCCACCAGCACCCACTGGAGGCCCACGGCCTGCTTTCTCAGCTTTGGAAACGGGTTGACGCGCCACCTGGTGGTGGTAGATGGGTATTTTATCCCATTTCAGCAATCCCTTCCCTATTCAGGGGTCTGTCCACACCTGGGCACTGACATTTACTGACAACAAGATTCCTGGGCCCCACTCCAGACATACAGAATGCGTTTCAGGGGTGAGGTCAGAATAATACTGAGACAGGGCCAGTTTGCTGACTGCTGCTTTTAAAGACCTCTTTACAAAATACTGACTAGCGTCACGTCTTTCCGTGCCATGCACCTGTGCTAAGAACTTTGAAGCATTTTAGTTTGCTTATTCCTCACAGCAGACCTCATGCTACAGATGGGGAAAGTGAGACTCAGGGAAGTTCAGCAACTCACAGGGGTTTGCACTGGGGGCGGGCAGTGGGGGGGGTGGGGGCCTCGCACGCCCGTCAGTCAGCCCCGAGGGGTGGGGAGTGGCGCTGGCCCTGTAAGGTGTGACTTCTCGGTTGCAGACGATCCTGAAAATCCTGGTTTCCGGGGGCGGCAAGTCGCGGACGGGGGTGCTGATACCCATCCCGCAGTACCCGCTCTACTCGGCAGTCATCTCTGAGCTCGACGCCGTCCAGGTGAACTATTACCTGGACGAGGACAACTGCTGGGCGCTGAACGTGAACGAGCTGCGGCGGGCTGTGCGGGAGGCCAAAGACCGCTGCGACCCCAAGGTGCTGTGCATCATCAACCCCGGGAACCCCACAGGTCTGCGCGCCACGCCCTCTCCGGCTTCTGCGGGGCGGGACGGGGGGGCGGTGTACTGGACGTCTGGGCGCTAGAGAGTTTGGTCTTGGGCTCCCCGTCCAATTCCAGATTCGCCAGTAGGGAAGCCCTGAGAGGTTTGCCGCAGGCATTGTCTCTGGCAGGGCGGTGTTATCCTGAAGGCCGGTTTTTTTTCCTGTTCTTGCATTTGCGACCTCCTTGAGGTTTTCAGGTTACTCACACACAAGCCATCATCATCCACCGCAGGCCTCATTTTATCATCACTCCTACTTATTTTTCTGAACCAGTTTCCTGAATGCTGGTGTGTGCGTTTTTATTTTTCCTTGACAGCATTGCTGTGGACCTGGAGGGCTGAGAAGGAAATGCTGTATCAAAAACTAAAGCAAGCCCCTCTCTTCAAAAAGAAAAAAAAAAACTTTCCAGAAGCTGAAAATCACTCCTAATATTGCATATTTTTCTTAAAAAAAAAAAAAAAACCCGCCTATTTTGGTCTTTCTGGACTGCTGGCTTCATGGACCGGAAGCTGTTTGGATGCTTTTTAGATGCTTAGAACAAGGGTTCCTCTCTCCTCCTTTGTTGAGTTAAATTGGGTCACGGCCAAAACGCGCTGGAGCTGATTGTGGAATCTGCTTCTTGGGAACATGAAATGATGCTTCTATCAGCGGAAAGCACCACTTGAATTCCTGAGTGCAGACAATACATGCAGCTGGCTGAGCTGGTATATTTGCACCAGCTAATGACGAAGGTTCTAACAAGGAGGCTATAGGGAAATGACACAGAGCTGGCTTCTCCATCCTGGTGGGACATTAGAATCACAAAGGGAGCTTTTAAAAAGGCCAAAGGCCAGGCTGCACCCCAGAATCTTTGGGAAGGGGCCCAGGCAGCTGTTCTGTGCACCTGACCATCAGAAGCACTGCTGCCCTAGGGGTCCCTAAAGAAACAAGCTGCTGAACCAACTAGGGAGGGTGGCCCCTTAGGGTCACCAGGGAACACAGCCCCCCCCACCCCCCCGAGTGATTCGGGGTGGGGTTCTTAGGGACAGTTTCAGCAGCATCACGACCCACATTCTGGCTGTGCTGGGCTTTCCTTTAGGTCAGGTGCAAAGCAGACAGTGCATAGAAGACGTGGTTCACTTTGCCTGGGAAGAGAAGCTCTTTCTCCTGGCTGACGAGGTAAGAGCAGCTCAGCTGTCCCCGCAGAGGGAGGGCTCCGGCCAACTGGAGGGCAAATCCCACCCGAGGAGGAGGGCGTTCAATGTTAGGGTCTGTGAAACCGACCTAAACCATCCCTACGTTGGTTGGAACTCTTGGTTATAAATTTCAGAAATCTACCCCAGACCACTTAAACTTAAAAAAAAAAAAATCATTAAAAGGGGGTGGGACTCCAGGTGTCTATCTTCTAGACGCTCTCTCCTTTCACCCCGCCTGTTGGCTCCACACACAGGCCTGCTATCTTCCCCACCTAGAAAGGGCTTTCCTCCTGGTGGTCCCAGCAAATCTCAGCATGGAGCCTCACACCTACTGCTGAACCCATCACTGTGGGCCGAGGTTGCAATGTGCAAACTGACCAGGCTCTGAGCAAGGGGTGAGGCCTCTGCCCTCTCCCCAAACCTCCAGAGGGAGGGCAGGGAGAGGTGTTTCCCGAGGGCAAATCGGGGCTGAGTGCTGGGTGGGCATGAGGCTGCCATGCTGGGCCCCTTCTGCTCCCATACCCGCCATCGCAGTTCTCACAGCAGCCGGTAAGTAGGGGTACCTTAGTGAACCCCATAGCTGCTGCTTCTTGAACCCGTTCTGGAGCCATGGCCTGCCCGTTCTTTTCCTGCTGTGCAAGAAGGAGATTGAAGACCTGTCAAATCCTGTTTTCACTTCATCTTCATTTCTGTATGATTTCTGGCTAGTTGTAGCTTCTAACACACTAGCTTCACTCCTTTGCTCCTTGGCACCCCCCAATCTTCCACACACACACCCCCCTTCCCCGCCAAATTGTGATCGAGATTAATAGCAGATGGGCCTAAACTCTTCATTCCAAACTGAGAGAAGGCACAGCCGAGTGACCCGCGGTTTTCTTTGTGACCTGGTTGGTGCACTCACCTTCCCACCATCTGGGAAGGGGGGGCCTGGCCCTCCCACCCACAGGCCCAGAGAGCCTGGGTTTCCCGATGTCCCAAGTGGGTGCGGCAAGCCCATCTCCAGGGCCGGGGTGGGGTGCTGTGTGCACGGGGAGGAACCCAACAGGTGTGGGTGCTGCTCACGCCTCCGCTCTGTGGGGCCTGACAGTGAAACACAGTCGCTCTTGGAGCAGGGAGGTCAGACCAGGCACAGGAGCCGCTGTTACTAATCGCTTTGGAAGGGAACCTGCTCGGGCAGGTGGGAGCCCTTGGTGTCTTCACTGGCTGTGCCAGGTAGAAAGGATGTCTGCAGACTGGGGCAGTGGGGGGGCCTGTGGGAGGAAGCACGTCGTGTCCAGCCCAAGACGTTCCTCCTGCTTGTTCTGGAAGCTTCCTTCAGGCACGTTCTGGCTCCTCCCTGGAAGCAGTGTCGGAGCCTGGGCTTCGGGGCGATGGCACGCAGCCTGACTGCAGGGAGCCCCTGAGCACAGAGCCTGCGTGGGCTCGGGCCTCTAGGGCACGTCTGGTGACAGCCCTGTCTCCTCCCGCAGGTGTACCAGGACAACGTGTATTCTCCAGACTGCCAGTTCCACTCCTTTAAGAAGGTGCTTTCCGAGATGGGGCCCGAATACTCCAGCAACGTGGAACTCGCCTCCTTCCACTCCACCTCCAAGGGCTACATGGGCGAGTACGTGGGCGTCCACCTCCGTCTGTCTGCTGCCTCTGGGCCTGCCTGGCCCCGGTGCTCCCCTAGCCCACCTCTGGCCCTGCACAGTGAGGGCCACCCTTAACTACCACCTACGGCCTCTGCTGACCTAAGAGGCTGGAGACAGGCTGCAGCTCCCCACGGGGGAGCCCAGTGGTGTGAGGACAGCCCCGGCGCAGACGTCGCTTAAAATAAGGCCATGCTTAAAAGAAACCGGGCTATGGATAAATGATGGGGATGAAAGCAGGACCTCACAGCAGCTTCCAACACGTGTGTCCTGCCAGACTGTCCTTGTTGCTCTGACACTGACTAAAGCCTGAGGGAAGGCAGGTTGAGTGGACAAGTGCCGTCAGGCCAGGGGGCCAGGCTGTGTCCACACCCCGAGCCCTGGGCCAACCCTGTGTGTGTTCATTCAGGTCATAGTTACTGAGCACCTGCTCTGAGTCCAGGACTGATCTGGGCACCGAGGATGCAGCAGTGAGCAAAGCACAGCCATCTCTGCCCTTACAGTGAGGAGACTGATGTGACAGACACACGAGTAAAATCTCATGTCGGGTGGGCAAAAATATTTAGAGACGAGGTAGGGGTGGGGTCACTGAAGAGCTGGCTTTTGGGTTAAAACCGAAGTAGGGGAGGGAGGGAGCCATGCAGACATCTGAGGGAAGGGCATTTCAGGTAGCGGGAACAGCACGTGCAAAGGCCCTGAGGTGGAAGCATGCCTGGCACGTTCAGGGAGCAGCAAGGGGACTGGGAAGGAGAGGGGGAAAGCGGCAGAAGTTGAGACCAAAGAGGCCTCAGGAGGCCGGGTCAGCTGCGCTGCTTAGGTCATTTTTCACCGTTACTCAGAGTGAGATGGGAGCCATTGTGTTGGAGCAGAGGCGGGACCTCAGCTGACTTGCAGTTGCTGTGCGGTGGGGGTGGGGCCAGCAGCGGGGACTCCAGTCAGGAGGCTGTTACAGTCCAGGTGAGATATCGTGGGCCAGCAGAGATGTGGAGAAGCTGCCTACATCCTGGGTGTATCGGAAAGTGGAGTTGACAGGATTGCTTGAGGGGGAAGGTGGGTGCCAGACAGGAGCGAAGGATGATTCCCAGGCTCTTTGTCCCAAGAGCAGGAAGGATGGAGCTGCCGTCTGTAGACGAGGGAGGCTGTGGGGGACGCTGTTTTGGAGGAAGGAGCGGGAGTTGGTATTGGATGTGTTCATGTCGCCAGCGCCCACTGGATGTCCAGACAGACATGGATGAGTCTGCTGGTCAGGCCGCTACCCAGCTGGAGGCTTCAGTTTGGGAGATGGCCGTGATGGAGCTGTTAGGTAGCTCTCCGAGCCTAGACGTCTCACAAAGAGGCAGAGAAGAGGTCCAAGGACCAGGCCTGTGCCTGCACTGCTCAGATGCTGGGGCGAAGAGGAGGACCCTGCAAAGGAGACTGAGAAGGGAGGGCCAGTGCATTACAGCTGGGGGCACTCATCCCCAACATTTCGGAGGTTCTGTTCCGTGCCAGGTGTCACAATGGCAGAGGGGTCTCGTTTGTTAAGCGGGAGGCCAGTGTAACAAGCCTGAAGAAGTATTTTGGCCAGGTCGCAGGGGCTGTCCCTTTGGGAGGACTGCCTAACCGCTGTTGTCTTAGAGGTGGGCAGGGGTTAATTTACGCCGGCCTTTCTGGTCTACCCTGGTAGCCGTGCCGCCTCTGTTGACTGTCATGTGCTGTGCAGCTCTTTTCCTAAGCACATCTGCTCTCCGTGAAGTCACTGTCAACCTCCAGCGTGTTTATCGCATACCTCGCCCTCTCTCCACCTGTTATTGATCACTCTTCACGGTCAGTCCCCTGGAGGTTGGTATCCTGTTAGGGCCCCATTGTCCTGAGAGCCTGATTACAGGGTCACACAGCTTTCCTCCACTTGGTTTTCTGCTCATCACAGAGGATTAAGCAGAAAGTCCCTTCTTTCGACACTTGTTACGGGAAACCTTTCTGAGAGGCCAGAGTTTGTCTCCTGGCCGTGGACAGTCCAGTCGCGGGATCAGATGGGAACCTGTGTTTGCCAGCTCAGTCCTGCGGCATCTTATTGAGCGTGTCATCATGTCCGGTGCTCTGAGGTTGAGGGTGTGGGGCCACTTAGGGAGGTGAGACCAGATTCCTGCCCCGGGCACCTGCATGTATGCAGCCATCAGTCTGAGCTTGATCGGTCCCAGGCCAGAGGAGGAGGCATGGCTCCAGAAAGTACAACCGATGGAACTGATTTGGGTCTGAAGGGTTTTTAAAACTCACTGCATAGCTCAGCGTTTTTGTATGTGATTTGACTCTATATCAGCCAGGATCCTTTTAGCGATAAGGAACAGAAACTCAACTTTCACTGGCCTACACCAAAGAGGCTTTTTTAAAAATCCATATCAGTATAAAGTGCAGGAGTAAAGCTGACTCAGAGGCTTGGCGATGTCCATCAGGCTGCCCCAGCTTTCTGGCTTTGTCTCATTTTCTTTCTTAGCTTTGCTCTCCTTGGGGTTAACTTTGTCTTCCGGCAGCAAAAATTTCCAGCAAAAGCCCTCATGCTTGCTGGCACCCATGAATCACTTGCCAACCCCTGAATTGGGAGCCCCTTTGGAGTGGGGGCCGGTGTATTAGTTAAGGTTCAGGCTAAGCCACTATAACAAAGAGGCCCAAACTACAGGGACTCAAATGAGATGAAAGTGTCTCTCCGTCTGACATAACAGTCCCAAGGTGGGGGGATGTCCAGGGCAGGCGTGCTCCATGAACTCCTTCAAGGACGGGGACTGGTGTGACGGCCCTGCCTGCTTAATATGTGACGGCCATCTCCAGCATTGAGGCTGCTGCCCCACCATCTCCGTTTCTCAGGAAGTGGGAAAAAGGAAGAGAAAGGAGAGAGCTTGCTTTTTCCTTGCAAGGAAGTACTGTGGGACTTACACAGATCACTCCCATTCACCTTCCACTGCCAAGAGCTCAGCCACCCCGGCCACTCAGTACTGGGCGTGGGGATGGGTTCAGAGCTGGCCGGATTGCACTGAGTTGAGGTCTGTCTGTGACTGGTGGGCCTCTTCCCCTCTTCAACCCTCCAGGTGTGGCTACAGGGGAGGCTACATGGAGGTGATCAACCTGCACCCTGAGATCAAAGGCCAGCTGCTGAAGCTGCTCTCGGTGCGCCTGTGCCCGCCGGTATCCGGGCAGGCGGCCATGGACATCGTCGTGAACCCCCCGGTGCCAGGAGAGGAGTCCTTTGAGCAGTTCAGGAGGGTGAGTCTGCTGTGTCCTGTGCTTTGTCTGCATCACTGCTGCAGCCCCCGTCACAAGTGCTCACGATATGCTCGGGGTCACAATGGCTGGCCTTGTTCCAGGTGGCCGCCAGGGGGCGCACATGGTTCCCCTTGGCACCTGAAGGCCCCCCTAGAACAGCGGTTCTCAACCTGTGGGTCGCGACCCCTTTGGGGGTCGAACGACCCTTTCACAGGGGTTGTCTAAGACCATTGGAAAACAAAAAGATATTTACATTACGATTCATAACAGTAGCAAATTACAGTTATAGAGTAGCAATGAAAATACTTTTATGGTTGGGGGACACCACAACACGAGGAACTGTATTAAGGGTTCGCGGCATTAGGAAGGTTGAGAACCGCTGTCCTAGAAGCATGTTCTAGGGCGTTCCATCCAGCGCCAAGTCCATTCAGACTTCTGGGCAGGCACTGGTGGCTGTTTTTCAGGAATGACATCCTGGTATGAGAATAGAATCCATGACACAGGCTGCCCAGGACCCAGCTGTGGCCTGGGACCCCCTGTACTCATGCTCCCAGTCATGTGGCAGCCTTGAGGGCTGCATGTCATGGAAGAAGTTCCTGCAAAGGGCTGTGTGTTGCCTACCTCCCCGGTGGCTGTGCTCACTCACACAAGCTCACCCTTCACCGGTCAGCCCTGTCACCCCAGCTCTGAAGGGACAGTTTCCAGTGGCTGAGCCATTCCATGATGTCCGGCAAGGCTGACACCTGTGCTTTCTGTGTCCCATCAGGAGAAAGAGTCTGTGCTGAGTGATCTGGCCAGGAAAGCTAAGCTGACGGAAGACCTGTTTAACCAAGTCCCGGGAATCCAGTGCAACCCGCTGCAGGGGGCCATGTATGCCTTTCCTCGCATCTTCATCCCCGCCAAAGCCGTGGAAGCAGCTCAGGTCAGGGGCTCCAGGCCGGGCGGCTCCCTCACGGGCTCCACTTGGGACTGCGGGGTTGGCCCTAGAGGCTCTGAATTTCGCTGACCCCTCGGCCAGCTGGTGTTCACTGCGTAAAGATGACAGCCCCCCGAGGTCCGGCCGGCCCCTGCATGCTGTGGTGATGGGGCCATGTGATGGCCCCAGGTGGGTGCTGTGGACCTGGGCCCTGGTACTGCTGGTGCTTGGGAGACAGGCAGCCAGGTGTGATGTGCTACCTTTAACCCGGAACACAGGCTGAGGAGGCGATGGCAGCTATCTCCTCCGGTCCCCTCGCCCCGGCCACTGTGCCTAGAGCCTTGCTTCCCAGACCCGTTAAGGTTCTGATTGATTCAGGAAGTCTGTGGAGGGTCTGAGATTCTGTGTTGTCAGGCGATGCCACAGACCCCACCTGGAGGATCAAGGGCAGAGCGGGGTTTCTGAGTGTTGTCCTCACACTCCCCTTCCCCCCGCCCCAAACCTCCTCAGCACCTTGTTAATCGTTTAGTCTGCCTCGCCCCAGAACTACTGCATCGGAACCCTGGTGTTGGGGCCCGGGGCCCACTAAACAGGTGCCCAGGCTGTGCAGATCAAAATGTGAAAAGCACCACTAACAGCACCCTCCGGAAGCCCCTCGGGCGCGGACCTCAGGGCCCATTGTCAGGTTACGTGGCTTGGCGTATAGGAGGCCACTGTCACTGCTTGTTGAGTGACTGCCTGGAATGGGTACAGACTTGCCCTCCCGGAGGAAGAGCAGACGCGCCTCAGCCCATGGCCGTGCTGGCGTCCTCCAGGGTCCTCGTCCCTGCACCTGCTACCAGCTGCGTCCAATGTGCAGCCTTGGTCCCCGCGGTGGGGGACGGGGGAGGGCCGTTTCCACTGTCGGGCTTCAGTCCCCAGTGGCGTGTTTGTACAAAGCCGGGAGTGAACCCTGAGTTCTGCTCTGCTCCGCAGGCCAATCAGATGGCCCCTGACATGTTCTACTGCATGAAGCTCCTGGAAGACACGGGCATCTGCGTCGTGCCCGGCAGCGGCTTCGGGCAGCGGGAGGGCACCTACCACTTCAGGTACCACTTCCCCTCGGCGCCAGGCGGGGCCCAGGCGCGCTCTGGGGAACCTGGGCTTCTGAACGCAGAGCTTCGGAGACATATGTGGGCAGCCCCCTCCCACCTCACCCCCATGCTGTCCTGCTGCAGAGCCAAGGTCATCGTGAGCGCTATTGCCCCTCTGCCACCTCCATCTGTCACTTAACCCTCTGGAATGTTCCCAGTGGTGTGTTTTCTGCTTCACTTCCTGTCTCTTTTCACCGCCATGAGAACAGCGTATAGCATCCAGGTGCTCAGTCACCCGTTCGGTGCTGGAGGTCCTGCATCCGAAACAAAGGGACCAGCTGCACTCATGGTGACGCGTCTCCCAGGGCATGTGACTGTCCATGTGCAATGGGGACTCCCGGGGCTGAGCAAGCCAGGGTTCCTGGCTGAGGCCTGTTCTGATCAGAACAGCACCTTCTCCATGCACGGGGCTCTCTGGTGGCGCCTGCAGCAGACACTAAAAAAAGAAGTGTCATGCGCTTAGTTGGCACTTGGAAGCAAGTCTTGACTTCGTCAAGGTCACGGGCAGCATGCCCTGGATGCGCAAACACAGTTGGCTGGCCTTTCTGCCGTAGTTACAGGTTCCCCTCGTAATTCCGGGCTGATTCTGAAAGGTGCCTTTAGGGCTGGGAATCACATTGACAATATTAGAGGGAGGACTTAGTTACCATGGCAACCTGGGAATTCCTTTGGAGGGCGCTTTGGGACTGGGGGTGCTCACTGTGAGAGACTGGCTGGTGGAGACCGGAAAGGCTTGTCTAGCTGGAGTGGGGTCTCTTTGTCTGCAGGAAGTAGAGTCAGTCTCTGGAGGAGATCTGAGCACCAGTCAGACTGTGGTGCAGACCTGCGGTGCAGAGTGCTGCCCCCAGCGTATTGCTTTTGTTTATATGTATCAGTCGGGTAAAAAAGTGATGAATGGAGGAAAAAAAAAAGTGATGAATGGGGAAGGGGACAGTGGTTCCTCCAGTAGCAGGCACTGTTGGAGGCTGGAGCTGTCGCAGTGGACCGGCAGGCCCGTCCGGCCGCAGCTGCCCCAGCGCTGCCGATGAGGAGTGAGCTGCGGCGTCACGCCCCTCCCCTCTTCCAGAGCAGCTGGTGTCCAGGCTGACGCTGTTCTCTTTCCTGGCAGAATGACCATTCTCCCTCCGGTGGAGAAGCTGAAGACGGTCCTACAGAAGGTGAGGGATTTTCATGTCAAGTTCCTGGAGAAGTACGCGTGAGGACTCGGGCCGAGGGGGAGACCAGGCCCGCAGCCTCTCCTGATGCCCAGCCAGGCCAGACTGAACTCGCCTCCCCCAGCGACTCTGCCTCAGGCCTCACAAAGGCCACTGGTCGCTTTCATCGTCATTTTGCCCAGGAGACTTCTTTCTCTGTGCCTTGATGTTGGGAGCTCTTCTCTTCCGAGCAAATGTGAATTGGGGGTGTCTCAGGAGCCCTGGTTTTTTTTTTGATGCAACCAAAGTAAGGGGATGGGCTTGGTGTGGGTCTGCTGCTGCTGTGGTGTTTGGGGAGTTCATCTGGGGTTTGAAACACTCTGGTGTGTTGGGTGACATGTTTCACATCTGGAGAAAGGAGAAGGTATTGGGAGATACATGGCTTAACCGTGGAGAGGACTGGAAATCCTCAAATCACCACCGTGATCTGTGAAATAAAACCCTTAGCCTTGTGGAAATCTAGTCCTTCCAGGAGGAGAGCCTGGAAGTCCATTGGACGCTCAGAGAGGGCCTACCCTCTATCTGTCCATCAAGAAGGGTGGGGGTGGAGCACACGGGGCTGCTCTGGCTGCCAGGCGAGGCTGTGGTGGGCACAGGGGGCCACAGCCGACGTTGTCCATATGTCCTGCAGGGGAGGAGTGGCTGTGAGCTAGGCTCCAAGCCGAGCCGGGTCTGCACTTGGGAGCTCGTAGCTGGTAGTGAGGCCCTGGCACATGCGAGGGCTTTGGCGGGTGAAGGGTGTTGAGCACGCTTAGGCTGGGACCCCCCTCTGAGAGGCCCCCCTGGACTTCACCGGCACAGGGCACTGCCCGTGCCTGCTGGCGCGTGGATCCATCCCTTTTTCACCCAACTGCAGTTCTCTCCCAAGGGCTTGGGCTGAGCCCTTACACACATCGCCCTCTGCTGGCGACAGCAGGGACAAGGAAAGGACTTGACTGCCACACCCCTCTCCTCTTGCCATGGTGTCCAGTTGTTTCAAACTGAATTTGGTCCATTTCCTAGCCCTTAGTGGCCCAAGTGCCTGGTAGCTGGGCTGCCGTGGGAGAATACATGGGATGGGTCTGACATGTGGGAAGGTGTGCTGCCTCCACGTTTGCTGCTGGCCCTGCCCCCAGGCTCTGCAGGTCATCTCTCCAGGCTGGGGGGGACCAGCCACCAAGCATACAGCTTCCCTGGCTTAGCAAGCCCGGGTGGGGGCCCAACCCTCCCTCCACAACATGAGTGCTATGGGCAGCAGCTGGTGTCGTGCCCCCTTCTTCACCGCGAGCCCCTCCTACCACCGGCCTTCCCCCACGGTCAGTTAGGAAACCAAGGCCAGCTCAGGAGTCAGGGGACTCAGCAAGTCCCAGAATAAAATGGAAGGAGCTGGAGAGGGATACGAAGAGGAGTGAGCTTTGAAAGCGGCTCCTGTGCTCCCATGTCCGTGCTGGGCCCACGAAGGGGATACAACGGAAACTTCAAACTGTCCCCACTCACTGGCACTACATCCCTATAAAGAATGCAGCCACAATCTCAAGCAACAACAGGAATTTTCTGGAACTTTTCCTCCCTTAAAAAATTGAAAAAATTGCATCTGTGCTTGTTGTATGGTATATAAACCAGGATGCGTCTCAGAGCTGTGAGATTTTTGGTGGAAAGGTTAAATAGAAGCTAGTCTATTTTTTATATTTTTGTAACAATTGCTTTTTTCATGGGGGGGGGAGGCTAGTATTTGTAGTCTTAACAAGTCCAGTAGGTTTTTTTTTTTTATAAATCTCTTAATATAAATAACCCCTAAAAACTTTGCAACGTTTACATGATTTTTAAAAAGATGCCATATACACTTGGTTTGCTTTTAAAATAAATGAATAAAAACATAAAAAGGAGCACTGGTTTGGGGGTTAACTTCCTTCTGCAGGAACGCTGATCATGATAGAGTTCATTCATTCTGATGTCTCGTGTGGGCACCACCAGAGGAAGCCGTTTGTCATTTGAGGTCACACTTTAAATGTACACCTGTGAAGCTTTCTGTCATTCATCTAGATATGCAGGTGGGGGGAACACTGGGCTGTCCCCTCGGGTGTCCACCACCTCGCACCTCATGGCCAGGCTGGTGGTTGGTTGTCCCAATGTGTGGATTTGCAGGAAAAGGGGACGGGCCTACCTCTCCCTGCTTTCTTATCTAGGTCCTCATAGGCGTCTCCTGGCCAAGGTACTTCATGATAGCTCCACTGGAAATTTTGAAATAAAATACATATCAAAAGTGGTGACTGTGCTTCGCTTTCCTTATAGTTTAGGAATCAAGTGGGCATCGCTCATTGTACATCTTCATTCTGTAACTTGTGTTCCTAGCACAATAATAAACGTTTCCCCCCAGATGCTACAAACTTCAGTCATAGCTTCTCAGCTTCCATTTCTTCTCAGGACCCTGAGGTGCTTTTTGTTGCTTGAGGTTTAAAAACTTCAAAGACGAAGTCGAGTGTTGTTAGAATGAATACAGACCTTGACTTTGTGGTGGCAGTAAAATAACCAACAGCTTCTTTATAGGGGCCGGGAGAGGGTGGGCGGGCAGGGGGCGCTGGACTGGCCCCGAGGCCAGTGGGGAAATGGGAAGTGGTCTCCAAAGGCTTTCCCACATCCTCATCAGTTCTGAAGTGTGGTTTTCAAATGCAAAACTATTTTTCAGGCCGGCCGAGTGGCACGTTGGTTAAGAGCTGGCTTGGGACACCAGAGGGCCCCGGTTCGGATCCCACATATGAGGGCCAGTGACACTGCCCTCTATAGCTAAGATGCTGAACAACAGCTCAACCTGGAGCTGGGCTGCCGAGAGTCGCCGGCGACGGCATAGGCTGCAGCCCCTGTGGCAGTGGGTTGCCATGGGCTACCGTATGTAGCCAGCAGCCGCAGTGAGGGGCCAGCAGCCGCAGTGAGCGGCTGTCCAGAAGCCGGCGACTGATCTGCCTCGCCCGGGAAGAGCGCAATGATGGTGCCAACTTGGGCCAGTGAAGCAACGTCCTCCACAACTAGACTGAAGAACAAAAGGAGAGCAATTTGTCTGTTGCCCTTCCCCCAATTCCCCAATAAAAATCTTAAAAAAGAAAAAACAACAACTATTTTTCACCCAAAACTAAATTGTCTGTCTTTATTAAAGAAACATTGGGGAAGAACACAAAAAGGACTCTCAGTTGGAAGAAATGAAAACCTACACAAAGTAGCTTAAGTGGAAAAGTGGAATTTCTGGAAGCCCTGGAGGAGAGCTGGCTTTTGTTCGTACTATGTTTCCCAGAAAATAAGACCTAACCAGAAAATTAGCCCTAGCATGATTTCCAGGGTGCTTGTAATATAAGCCCTACCCCAAAATAAGCCCCAGTTAAGATCGTCAGCCAGACATGACTGTATTTGAATACCGTATTTGCCGGTGTATAAGATGACTCGGCGTATAAGACGACCCCCTAACATTTCCACTCAAAATACAGAGTTTGTTATATGGTCGGCTGTGTGCGATTTTGCGAGTGTGGTAAAATCGCATAACAGCAAAATCGCATAACAGCCGAGCATACACCCAGCAGCGCTGCTGATGCCTGAACGGTATGTGGAATGAAGTGGGCGGGCATCGGGAGGCCACTATGGCACGGGGCAAGCACTATGGGCAGTCTATCTGAAGTGTACCTGGCGTATAAGACGACCCCCCACTTGGAGGCATATTTTTCAGGGCCAAAAAAATCGTCTTATACGCCGGCAAATACGGTAAATGTAGATTTTTATACATGAATAAATGAATAAAATGCATCTTGAGCAAAAATTAATATAAGACCCGGTCTTATTTTCGGGAAAACACAGTATGTTCACTGTTAAACACAAAGTCTGTCTTGTCCTGCGCCACATCTGAAAATTCCAAGCAAGGACTTTGGCTACCTTTGTCCACGTGCTCTTCCCTGAGCCAGTCTCTGGCCCATGAGAATCAGGTGTTTGGCTGGCTCTGTGCACAGAGTGGGAGGTAGAAAAGGGGTCAGAGTTTCAGAGTTGCCAGCCCCACTAGTACTGGAGAAGCCGCCCCCTGAAAGGAAAGGGGGTTGGAGGTGTTGCTGTATTAACACCTCATTTAGCACAGGGGCTCTTTAGAGGCTGAGGGAGGGATGGTGGGTTCAGGGGGGTTGAAGTTCATTACTGGTTGATAACCAAGGGGATTGGAGATGCTGTCTGCACCTTCCCTTAACACACACACACACACACACACCCTCACACACTTGTCTGGGGACTAAACTTGGTAGATGTTATACAGAGAGTTTATTAAATAGACAGGGCTTGGAAGACAGTTATTATTCAAGATTACTTTCGGTATAGTTTGCTGTAACTCACCTAGATTGACCAATGGCTGAGCAGCTGTGTGCCAGGCTCAGGACTCAGTGAAGGGGAAGACATGGTTCCATGAGTTATAAGGTTGATGACACCCCACGCTGGCACGAGTGGGAAAAGCAGCACTGGTACACTGTCGATAGGGGTATGAAGTTATACAACCTTTCGGGAGGGTACTTTGACACTGTCAATATTAAATGTACACACGTCTACTTTAAAACTACAGTAATCAAGGCTGTATGGTATTGCTAAAAGGACAAGTAATAGAACAAAATAGAGTCCAGAAATAGATTCACATACATTTATCAGTTTGGCATAAAATAGACTACTCACACACACGTGTGTACATATATGTCTTTGACACACTTGTACTGACACACTGATTTTTGACAAGCATACCAAAGCAATACACCTGGATATACACTTCGGGGGGAGAAATGAACTTCACCTCCTACCTCACACATGTGCTAAATTTCAGGTAGACCACAGGCCTAGAGTGTAAGAACGAAAACTATATCTTCTAGAAGAAAACTTATGAGCATATCTTTGTGACTTTGTGGGTAAATGTTTCTTACGACAAAAAGACACAAATAAAAAAAATTAATAAATTGAAATATATCAAAATTAAGAACTTCTTTTTAAAGGACACCTCTAAGGAATGAAAAGCAGGCCACAGACTGGGAGAAAACATTTTCAGAACATAAACCTCATAAAGGACTTCTATCAAGAATATATAGGAAGCATTAAAGGAAGAAACCTTAACAATGGACGGTGAGGAAAACAGCACACTTACTTAATTGGGCACACTTACTGAATTGAATAGAAAACGAAGGCTGGTTACTTAGAAAATCTTTCTAATGAATTTTGGTTTCTTAGAGGTCTGAATTGCTCACATGACCGCTTCGAAAAAAAACTTGTTAGGTCAATTCTTGGAGAGCTCCAAGATGGCGGAGTAAACACTCTGCCCGCTTGCGTCTGTGAACACATTAAAACTACAACTAAATTACAGAATAACCTCGAGAAACATCTGAAGTCTACCTGAACAGAAGTCCTATATCTAAAAGTATAAAGAAGAAGCCACAGCGAGACTGCTAGGATGCAGAACTGGCTAACCCCAAACCTCCGTGTGGCGGTTGAGAACCAGTAGGAATATCTCAGTCACAGAGGTCCCCCCCCAGAGGAGCGAGGGACCCCAAGCCCACACTGGCCTCCCCAGCCCAGCGTACTGGTGCTGGGAAGGGGAGCCCCACATCTGTCTGTGAAAAACTGGGATTCCAACAGTTTGGGTAGGACGGAAGTCGGCAGCAAACCCAGGCGTCCTCTTAAGTGGCCCGC